TCCCCATGCTTATTTTCTACTTATATTAGCGAATTATCTGCTCGCGCCCCTACTTCTCTCTTCAAGTATGCTGACCATGTGGTCTTTCACAATTTTCTGACAACTTGGATAACGTCCAGCAGTTTTCCGCCACAACGGGCCTATCTCCTAATCCCTCCAAATGTTTCGAATGTCTCTTTACACTATCACGCTCTTCTTTCTCATCTGAATCGGTATCGATTGATTCCGTACCAGTATCACGGGTAAACTGCATTAAATACCTGGGCGTTTTTATTGATACTAATCTTCACTGGACCTCTCACATTCAACACATCGTCAGTAAGCTTCGACGACCTTCTTTTCATATCCGTAAACTTCGTCAGTTTTGTACTCCACAATCGATTATTTCCAACTTTGTGTATCAGTCTGTTTTTCCTGTTTAACTTTATTGTTTATCTGTTATTTTTCTCAACCTCCTTAAGAAAGATTTTAATTTGCTTCGACGTGGATTGACCATCATTAGCCGTGTCTCTTCAATCCCGCTAAAGGAGTTGAGAAATAACCTATGCGAACGTCATTTGAATGCATGTGAAAAGTTTGCACATAAGATTATTTTCGACTCCACACATCCACTATACGCTGACCTAACTAACTGTTGTTCCCATCCCTCAAATAGATCACAAAATCTTTGTGTTCCCTCTCGAATAAACATTTATCGTAACTCCACATTATCCTCATTAGCACGTATTCTTGTTAACAAAGAACAGGTTTTCACAGAATTTGTTACCAGTCATGGAACCTAAATCTCTTTTTTCATTGTTATTTTTATTTTCTCCGTTGCTCGAAACTGTTTATTTTTTAAATGAAATGTGGGCTTCATGCTTGCAGAAGTTATTATAATACAATACAATATAATACAATACAATTCTTCCTTATGATCTGTTGGAGCGCGAGAAATGAGTACGTTTGGTCGTGGGAGAGACTTCGAGGTGTGGCTCAGAATAGGATCCAGTGGAGCTGATGTGGTCGGGCCTACTTATTTAAATATTATGCTATCTATAACAACAAAATCAGATAACGAATAGGAAATTTAGAACTACAATGCACAAATATCGTCGTCGTTTTCGACATTCTCGTTATTTTCTGTTAGCTGCTTCTCTTTATTTTTTTTCCTTTCGCAGTTAGTACCACCTCTTTTCATTTTCATTTCTATGGCATCATGTGGTGATCCAGACTTACATGACCGCATTCCATGCACGACCAGGTACAGTTTCATGTCCTCCAATCACCGCTCAGGAAACTCGGTCAATGGTACACTGAGCGAACATGACATCCGAGTTGCTACATGTGATGCGTCGGCGCAAACGGTTGCGTGGTTGGGCGACGGTCCTTCAACCAATCATAAAAAGTGCTCCAATTCCATCAATAAACATAAGCATTTGCTGCTATCAATTGCTCGTGTATTTCTTTGGTGTCCGCAGTTTGGGTTGAAGCTATTCCAGTTCTGAGCATTACGGTACGGGTTCTCGTATTCCTACATTCAATACTATTCCGATTTTCACACATCATCACTATTCCCGTTTCCAATGAAGTATATATGCATGTGTGTGTGACTATATTTTCCTGGTTCATAGTTGTTCAACCGTTAAAATAAACTCCTTGAGAGACACCGAAACGACTTATACAAAGTGCACAATATCTGCAAATATAGGACATCTGATTGCTCTGAACACTGGCATTGAGACTAGATTGGGAGCGCTTATTAGTCAGGGAGGATGAACAAATTCAAATTTTTCTGATGCCGAATTTACAAAGCTGAAGTTTGTTGAATCCCAATCAATCTGTTTACAACGGATTTGGATGTCAGTACAATCAAACAACAAGGTATCGCGTTCACGCATAGGAGCTGAACATTAAAGTGGTTCATTGATTCATCGTTCGACGACTTGAATGAATCGATGTTTGCAACACAAACATCCTGATCTGTAAGCAAATCCCAGTTAGTACAGACTCTGAGGATGAAACATGGACGTCGACAGTTCAACCGATTCTTTTGGATCAAAAAAAATAAAGAGATGTCCACGGAAGTGATCATTCGTTGATAGCGTTCGTAGAGTACTAAACGGGTGTTTAGTTAGGTGTAGTATTTGATCTACGAGGATCGGGGGAATTGAGATGAATAGATTCTGAGAGTTTGCAATCTTTCAACGTAGGTCCTGGGTTGTAACCTTTTGACCATTTCGGGTGCTATTGTACGCGGACATTCGTGTACTTTTGTATTACGATTAAGCCATGAGTTCCAAACTTGGAAAGCTTACTCGTGGTCCAACAACACATTTAAGCATTACAACTTGTCTCAGAGTCATTGTTGAAACTCTAACGCAATGTGTAGAACATCCTGGATCCTCTCAACCTATAATTCCCAGATCCTTCTTGTTCGGAGTACGTTGTAATGGCTGATTTCAAAATATGTATGGTAAGCGACCCTATGGATGCAATGATAAAACCCTACGTTTATCAACTTCTACTTCGACGTCAATAGTGATAANATCTATAAGCTGCGTTTAATGTTTTCTGTAATGTTTTACAATCTTAACATTTTAGTGTTCCTTCTATTTTGGCATCGTCAGTGAATAACAGTGTCTGTGCTACAAGGATATTCAGTAGACCGTTTATGAATACATACAGGGAAGAGGTGGAAAGCAAATAAGTATCTCTGTGGGACTCCATGGAGAACGTCGACTGGTTCGGAAAGCAAACCAATAACTGAAACTGATGCGNACCGTAAATGTGGAGCTTTCGCAGCAGAATCTGGTGGTTCACTCCGTCGAAAGCTCTGAAGAAGTCCAAGTAGACCACATCTACCGTACATCCTGCATCGACTCTTCTAGTTCACTCATCTCATGCAAGCAGGAGATTGTTGGTGCCCGACTGTTTTTATCGAAACCCCTGTTGGACTGGCTCATTGCATACTCACTTTTAGACCTTGTGGAAAGCAGTATTGTGATCGCGAGCGACCTAAAATCACTGTCTAGGTTAGTATTTCGAATGGAGAACTGTATGGTTGCACTGAAACAAATGGAGTAAATGGCCGACCTTAATTCCTTGGTGACGTTAGAAAGAATTGGAAAGACTGCCGTACTCCCTGCGGAGTTCCAGGGTGGAATTGGCAGACAGAACAACTTCAACGGACGCGAGCCAATCTTCGAGGAATTTTGCAGACTTCATTTTGTTTAGGGCTAGAAATGACCGCAGTCGCTTCTGGTAGTTAGCCGAACAAGCTATGGGCAGGTTCAGCAGAGTTACTTTTTTTATTACACACCTAAGTGTGATGAACAGCAGACGGGGCCGACCCCATAGTCACGAAGACCTGCTTTTCAGTGATTGAAATCCACAACCTAAGCCCCCGGACTTGGAGTGGCGAACAACATAAGGCCCCGATAGTTTAGGCGTGGTATCGAACCGGATGACAGCAGAGCTGCTTACCGCCAAAGTTGGTAGTGAGTTTAGGCTAAATCCCGGACATAGATTGTTGGCCAAGATGTATTCAATCCCCACCAGTATGCCCATAAAAAGGTGCGCTGTGCGTGTAGGTAATCATTCATTGCGAGCGATGGATTGAAGCAAACAGGAAGGGAGTATGTTTGACAGTCTACGGGAAAGCCAACGAGCTCGAGAGTATAAATCAAGAACCATGTGTACAACCAAAGGTTTAAATGGTCATCATATAGTCTAGTCCACAAGGTAAGATGGGCATAAGGTTACGAAGCACCGGACGCAAAGGAAAATCACTGCAGAGCTACGAGTTAGTAATCGAAGGATGTGTGCCAAACTATAATGCCAGTGAGATTGCGGTCTGCCGAGAGAGAAATCGTGGGTTATGCACTCCTAAACACCGGATCTGACACAACATTTATAGACGAAGAGGTGGTCGTGAAAACCGTTGCTGGATCTAAACAGGCTCTCCCAACAGGAACGGATTTCGAAGTACTCGCGTTATATCGCTCGGAATCCACCAAAATTGCCCATGCTGTGGTATTAGATCAGCTACTCGTTCTTAGGACGGAGCTTAAGCAACCCATCCGATCGCGCACGCCTCCGAGTCAGACCACACGCAAGCTCGCAACGCTCCAGACAGACTGAACCTGATTGAATGATCACAGAACGTGTCAGCCAATGT